TTGTTGTTGTTGCTATCTACTATGCTGTATTCTCTGTTGTAGAATAGTTTCGTGTCTCTCTTGTTTTTGTTTTCCTTCTCTCTGCCAGACACAAACGTGCCAGGACTGAACGAGCTGACAACTTGTAAGTTTTGGTTATTACAAAAAAAATCATTTCTAGTGAAGCTACCACTGCCACTTCTGTCGTCGTCGTCGTCGTCATCGTTGTTGTTGTATCGCCTATAGAAACTTTCATCGTAGCGACGTGGCTGGCTGCTGGCGCCACTGCAGCTGCTGTTTCTGTTTTTCGGTTCTACCGGGGTGTCGAACATGGCCTCGTCGTCGTCTGTGAATTTCTTTCTGAATGCTGGTGCAACCTGAGAAGCTAAGGGACTTGGAAATGGATGGGTGGCCTCAATCTTTAACGATTGACTGTTGTTGTTGTGGTTTGTGTTGTGGTTAGTGTTGTTATTAGTGTTGCTGTTAGTGTTGTTGCTAGTGTTGTTGTTAGTGTTGTTGTTGTTAGTGTTGTTGTTAGCGTTGCTCATGTCCATGTCTAATGTTTTTCTGCAGATTGTTGTTGTCGTTGTAAGATATTCGCCGGAGTTTTCGATATTAATTTTGTTTTTGTTGTTACCTTGTGAAATTTTGTCCGCTGTTTTTGATTTGCTGTCTTTTTTGTTGCTGCTGTTGTTGTTGTTGTTGTTCTGATTGTTTTTATTGATGCTGCAGTTGCTGCTGCTGTTGCTGTTGCTGCGACTGTTGCTGCGACTGTTGCTGCAACTGTTGCTATTGCTGTTGTTGTTGTTTCGGTTGTTGTTGTTGCTGTTGTTTGAGGATTTATTGAGCAAATTAAAGTTTTTAAAAAAAGAGGATAGTATGTTTTTAGTATGTTGTTTTTGTTGTTGTTGTTGTTGTTGCTGTTGTTGGGGATGGTTGTTGTCAAGTGTATGGTTTTGGTTTAATGAAAACTCATTTGGTGGGCAAATCTGATAGTTCTGTGATGGCTGCTGTAAGTGTTGATTGTAAGGATGTGGTTGCTGATGTTGCAGATGTTGTTGCTGATGTTGTTGCAGATGTTGTTGTTGATGTTGATGTTGATGTTGTTGTTGTTGTTGTTGCAGAAGTTCAACCAGTCCACTCATTCTACTACTATGCTCGCTTGCAACACCACTGTCCAACGAATCTTCAGTCAACGATATGATCATGTTGTTGTTTGTTGTTGCTGTTATTGTTGCAGATGTTGTGGTTGTTGTTGTCGATAACGATGTTGTTGTTGTCGCTGATGTTGTTGTTGTCTGGATGAGATTAATGTCCGAGTTGCAGTTCATAATGTTTTAGCTTCACTATGTCACATCTGTGGTTTTCTTAGTAGAGCGAATCTGTAATGAAATTTAATGAAATTTAAATCACAAGTTGTGTGTCATTTCTCTGTTTTTTCTGAATTATTTTTTTATTGTAACAATAAAAATAACAACAACAGCAACAACAACAACAACAAAACAACACACATAGTGTTTGTGTGATTGTGTGGATCGATGCATTACAGTACGATGAGAGGATGATAATTTTTTTGATTTAGAACTTCGTCATAATGACGACGACAATGTTAATAACCACGAAGGAAAAAATTCATCAGTTGTGTACGTATTTAAATATACTGTTATCACACGCACACACACGCACACACATACACACACATATACACACTTACACAC